ATCATAAATTTTTAAAAAGCCCTAAACTAAATAAATGCTTGTGGTTGTTACATTTTATTTCTAATGCTGCCCTTAGCTTCTGTCTTCTCACATCCTTCACAACATTCCTTCAGACTGAGACTCCTACATAACCCCCCGAATCCAGAAGCTGGAACATGAAGTAAGAGCAAACAGACAGCTATTATGAACTGCTACAGACAGCAGTATGATTAGACATAAATATCAGGTACATCTTTGTTAGCATGTAACGCAGAATAATAAGCTGGAACAAGCTAAATCAGATGTCTTCCAATGCCCAGAATAATAGGGAAATAATAGTTGTTCCAAGATGAACCAGGAACTTAACCACATATTCAAGCAGGAAAAATTACCATTTTTCAATGCCATAAGAAAGCAAGCAGAAAGTGAACTGATAATATTCACATATGGAAGTTACTTCAAACTCCAACTGATCTGTAGGCTGGGTTATTTAGTACTTGAAAAGCCAGCTACCCACTGAGGCATGAGATTTAAAGAAAGCTATAAAACATGAACATTAGTGTCAGGAAGCTTTCGAAGACATCTTAAATCTCAGAAAGAAAGACATGCTCAATCTGAAATGCAGCACCTGTGGCTTTTGCCATCTAAACTCAGATTATTCAGGCTCTAAGATAGTGATTTATTTGGATGTTATACATTTAAATTAAGAACATTTGGCATTCATTCTGTCCCCAAAGTGCTTCAAAGAGCTAACTGAACTGATTTTTGAGGGATTGCAAAGCAATAAAATTTTAATTTTATTCATCTTGGATGAAATTTTAATTTGAATAGAGGCCCTAAAACAGTATAATGAAATACTGATTTTTTTTTGTACTGACATAGACAAAGTCTCATAACATTAAGTTTTTAATAGTACATACTAGTCTGGAAAAAGCTATTTGTAGGGTCTGCTCAGTTGCTTTCAACAGTGACTGAGAAAAAGAAAGGCTTAGTTAAATGTATATATCATGATGACACAAGGAGCATATCACCACTGAGAGGTTGATAAAGCCATGGAAGCTCCTGTAAAGAGAAATATAGCATTTCATATGCTGTGTTCAGCACAAAGCAGATTTATCAGAAACAGGCAGTTGACTTAATCAAAGGTCAGCAGAGGATATTTTACAGTTTACAACATGGAGAAGACATTATGTGATCCAAATGCCTACATTCTGCAGCTGTAGTAGAAGTAGCATATATTACACAGGCAAAACCCAGTTCATATTAAGAGATGATTATACATTCCTAATATAAGTCAAGAAATTCATCCTGTTTTGCAGTGCAGGAAACAGATATGAGCATAATTCTCTATGAAGGACAAAGAGCAAAGGAAGACTCTGCACCTCTGTCTGCATGAGCATGGCAGATGTTGGTTGTACCAGAGCCACCCAGCAGGAGCAGGACAAATGCTGAAATCACTATGTCTGGTAAGACCAAGCACAGCTGCCTCCAGAACACAGTCAGAAGAAACAGCAACAATCATGCCCTGAGAAAGGTGCCAGATCCTGTTAGAAGGAGATGAAGAAATGTAATGTATTAATAATAGGTACGTGATTTCACCAAGTGTTAAAAACCCCACAGCTTCTGTTAGACCATGATCTTTGGCAACAGATCCAAGCCTGGGGAATATGTCAAACCACAAAGTGTGTATCCATTTAACCTGTTGGTGAACTAACCAGTTTCAAGAGCCTGATCAGACTCTGAGGCAGGAGACTGTGAATGCAGTTAAAGAAAGTGCCTTGCCTTCCCTCCTCAGCAAAGTGACCCCTGTGTGCTCATTAAATTTTATTCTGCAGGTAATTGCTGACTAAAATCACAGCAAGTCTGCACCCAGCCTTGCTGGTCAAGGAGGAGTTGCCTGCATTATGGGTCCTTGCTACTGAAGATATTTAATGAGAAGGGAGTCAGATTTTCTGAGACTCCTACATAACTGAGAATGTTATTAATTGGCACAAAAGAAATGGAAATGAGATGGTAATGGTTTACTTTTGAGGTAGAAAAGGGGATATGTGTTCCCTGAACAGGATAATACATCAGTGCAGCTTCTATCACACTAATTTGTTAAACATGTTTTGCAGTGTTGGCAAAAAATATGTTTTTCCATCAGACGCCTGCATAAGGCATTTGTGAGGTTGCACCATTCTGACACAAAGCATGTATAACAATGTATTAGGTGTTCCTAATAAATTATACAAACATGGTGTTTAATCAGTAGAATAAGCTGTCTTGAATATATTGTGTGGTATGAAACCATGAACAGCTTACACAGAACATGTAAATTGTATTTTAAAGGCTAAAAGAGAGTGTTTGACTGATAAAGTATTTTGAAAATACCTTCCCATGCATTGGCAGCTATCATTTATCTCACTCTGACCAAGATGAAGATAATGTGCATATACAAGCAGTAACAACTTTTCTGCTGACTATAATATTCTTTATTGCTTTCTTCAATTTCAGCAATAGGCAATTAACTCATGGCTTGTTCAGCTTGTTCACAAAGCTACAATAACCTCTTTGTAACTTTGTGAGCTTTCACACAACTGGAAGGACAAATCTGGCAGGGAATAAGAGCTGAACAGGTTCAATTTTTCACCAGCTACTAACAGAAGACAAGAAAATGAAGAAGTGTTCTGTGTTACATATCCAGTGACTCTTCCTCCAAATCAATTTTTAAAAGTATAGCTCATTGAAGGGAAACTAGGAGTGAGAAGTGACATGCTGAACAAGCAGTAAATGGTTAATGTTCCCCAGCTCTGAAGCCAGGAATAGGCACCACATAAGTCCTGTCCAGAAAAATGAATTAGCAGCACTAGCGGAAGCTGACACAGGATGCTGATATCCATCCAGGGAGGGATTCAGAAGAGAAGGAACAATAAAGACAGGCATTGAGGTGACATCTGCAGGGGCTGGAGAACAATTTCCATAGAATGACTGTCTTTTAATACACAGAGGTTTAACTGTTATTGGTCCCTGTTACAGATCATTACTATGAGAAACAATGAGAGCCATTTGTATTCCCTTCTCCCTGCAGGACATGTCTGAGGGAGAATAAACTGCTTTCCTCCTCCAGTGTCAGCTTGTTACTGGCAGCACTGGCTATAATTGAATAAGCTTTATTCAAATGATAGCTAAATTTAGCAGATATTAGCATGAAGTCTCTAGAGGGGTGAAAACTGGAGAAGAAAGCTTTAAACAAATACACTAAAGTAACCCTGAATAATATATGCAATTTATGGCAGAGTCAACCTCTCAGCCTGATGAGTCTAGCACAGTTAAATCTGGATTTTGGGGCCTTGTTGAGACAAAACATGACAGCATCCCCTTTCCTCCTGGCCTGTGATGACCCCTGAGATGGCAGGACCCCTTGTGTTGTCCACAAAATCAGATTCATTACAAGGTGTGCAACCAGCCAATAATTACACGCTTAGGAGAGACTTGATTATTTATTTCAGAGTTGTGTGAGCCCAGGTGCTCAGCAACATTTCCCAAACCAAGCACACCCACCAGACTTTCCACACTATCATTTATATGCAGAACTTCAGGGTATGTAACTTTCCAATTACAGCTCCTGTGTTGTGATGAGTTAGCAGGAGTAATTACATAATCCCAGTTAATTTCTGTGCAGGCTCAGGGGAAGGACCTTCACCTGGCCAGGGGTCTGTTTGACCTTTTGGCATGATTTTTAGTACCATAGGAGCACACATTGACCTTGAGTATTTTGCCAAGTTAGCAATATACATAGACATACATCAACATCTTGATTTACTACATCCTTAAAAGTTGTTAGTTCCAGGATATCCTTGAGTATGGGATACTAACTGCTATCTGATCTACTGATACAGAACATCCTGACTTACTACATCCTTAAAGTTTGTTAGTTCCTGGATGTCCTTGACTAAGGGATGCTGCCTGCTGCCTGTTACACCAATTAAGTCTTTTTTCTTGCTGATTAGCATTGAAAGTATTCAAAGATCTTGCATCAACAAACTTCCTGACTTAAGATGATCTGGATATTCACATAACTTAGCCCCAGTCCTTGCCAAGTCAGGGTCACCTAGAGCAGATGACACAGGAACACATCCAGATGACTTTGAATGTCTCCAGAGACAGAGTCTCCACGGCCTCCCCATGCAGCCGGTTCCGGCGCTCTACCACCCTAACCACGGAGAAGTTCTGCCTCGTTTTGAGGTGAAAATTCCTATGTTTTAGCTTGTGAAAAACACCAATTACTTGGTTTTTAAAAGTTTAATAGTAATAAAATGGTTATTAAAATAGTAATACAATTAGAGTAATAATAATTTGGACAAATTGAATTAGGACAATATGAGACAATAAAGACAAAGAGTTACAGATGTCTGGGTACCTTTTTCTGGGCAGCACGAAACCGAAAAAGGACACCCGTTAACAAAGGATTAACCCTTAAAAACAATAGCCTGTTGCATATTCATACACTTCATACATGATGCATAAATTCCATTCAAACACAGGATTCTATCAGGTCTGGGTCAACTTCGTCCTCTTAGTCCTAACAGCGCCTTCGAGGTGGGAAGAATTTCGTTTCTTCTGATAAGAGGGCAATAAATTCTTTTTCTCTGAAAGATTTAGGTGTCCTGTGGCTGCTATCTGGCGCGAGTGCCTCATTCCTTTCTTTAAAAAATATCCCACTTACATAGTTCCTATTTTAATTACAAAATTATCTTTTAACTACAAGACTACATTTATCATATTATTAAAATGTTAATACAGCACTACTAATCAATACATCAAATTACATATGGTGAATATCTGCGTAGAGCCATATAATATGCACTTTCCACAAGCCGACGCCCCGCAGTGTCCCGCGGCCGGGCGGCCCCGGCCGGCTCCCGCCCGTCCCCTCGCCGCCGGCGCTGTCCCGCCCAGCCGGCGCTGCCGCCCCTCAGGGCGGGGTGCGCGTGCCCGCCCTCCGGGCCGCGCGGGGCGCTGCGGGCCGGCCGGGAGCGCGCGCGCGGCCATGTCGGCATCGCTGCTGCGCCGCGGCCTGGAGCTGCTGGAGCCGCCGGGTGAGCCCGCGGGCCGGGGCGGGCCGGGAGGGCGGGCGGAGGGGGCTCCCCGGTACGGCTGCAGTGACTCCGTCCTTCTTCCCGTTGCAGGCCGGGCGAAGGCGCCGCCGGGACTCCAGCGAGGCCGGGCCGGCCCCAGGGCGGCGGGCGCGGCGAGGCGGAGGAAGAGGGCCCCGGAGCCCAGCAGGAACAAGGCCACGGTCAAGGGCAGAGTCGTGAAGTCGGCGATAGGTGAGTACCGACCCCTCCTCAGCCCTCGCACCGGGGACCTTTGTGGTGTCCCGTAACCACGCTGCCGGTTGCTGTATCTATCCCATCCCGTCCAATTCTCCTGCATGCCCTCTTGGTGTCGCCCTTTTTTGTGTCCTCACTTTAAACCCAGCCTGGTTTGTGGGCGCACCCCTATCCCTGAGCTGTAGCGGTGTCTTTCTCCTCTTTCTCCCGGGACTTTGCTGATCCTCCTCTGTCTCTCCTTGTGAGCTGCCTGGATGAGCAGCTAATGCGTTTTGTCACTTTCTACTTTGCCCCAGAGGAGTACCATAAGAAGAAGCCTGTGAATCACTTGAGAGAAAACCTGCAGTACATGTTAAAGGGACGACTTGTTGCAGACAAAGCTGTCACGGAACAAGTAAGACTGTTATTTTTTGGGGGATGGGGGGGGGGGTCTGTTTCCACTGAGGAACACAGGTGAATGGGAATTATCCCCGGATCTTCCAGATTTATACTTTACACAAGAGAGTCAGGTTAAGTTTCTGTCTACAGATGGCCTTGAGGAATTTCTGTGTGCACTGGCAAAATAACTTAGCAGGATTTAAACTGATGTTGAAATGTTGCCCCCTATGATGTTCTCTGATACTAGTGAAAATCATAGAATGGTTTGGGTAGGAAGGGACCTTAAAAGATCATCCAGTTCATCATTCACCCTGCCACGGGCAGGAATGCCACCTGCTACATCAGGTTCCTCAAAATATCCTGACAATTGTTGGCTTTTCTTAATTACCTAAAATAGTTCATAGTTTCAGCTGGCAGAGGTGCCCTGTTTAGACCTTCTCATTAGTGTTGATCAAAGTGGCCTTCTCCGTAGCTGGAGGCTGATTAACGAGGAAGCAGATGTGCTGCTGGTTCATCTAATAGGAATTACTCAGCTTCCTAAATGGTGTTTCTCATAACTTGAGAATTTCTTGACTGGTCCTCCCCAAAAGGTAGTCTCATGCCAGGATTTGAAGAGAATAATAGATGACAGTGCTGGAATCTTGGGCTGTTTTTAGGAGATATAGGCTTTTAACTTACATAAACAAAGAAAATGGTTTAGGCCACTGTTTCTCAGGCTGGAGATTGTTACAGGAGGTGACAGTGTATTAGAAAATGCTGAGGGAATTCCACCAACTTGTTGGTTTTTTGGTTTGTGTCCTGGAGAGAGGGGATAAAAAAGAAGGTAATAGTTTCAGAAAGTTCTGAAGTCCATGTTCTTATCTCTGTGACAATTACTAGAAAATAGTTTTCATATTTGACTCCAAATAACAAGTTGGTATCTGCTGTTGTCCCAGTGACCTGCTTTGGTTAACATCAGTGGTTTGCCTCTCACTTTTCTTTGGAGGCACTCTGGAAAATAGCAGAGTTCTTGTAGAACAGCAGGGGTGCTGCAGGTGAGCTTGAAAATCCCTGTTTTGTGGTTTGGTGTGGATAACAATGACCGTTGTTTTTTCCATTTCTGTATTGTCTGAAGGTTCTTGCTCAGAACAGAGGCAGGAAGTCCAAAGATCAGCCTCCAGAGAAGACAGAAAAGAAGAAGCCTGAAGGCACTGTGTTTACTGAGGAAGATTTCCGTAAATTTGAGAGGGAATACTTTGGGATCCCATAAACATCGTGACAGGGATTCTTGCAGTCTTTCTGCAGCTTCTCCAGTCTGGCTCTCAGGCCTGGGCATTTCCTTGGCATGTTTGAGATGGCACAGACTTGCAGAGCAGCTCTGTCTGGATGCAGAGCTTGTTGCTGGCCAGCTAAAGCCACAGAGGTGCTCTTGACTCTAAGGTGTGTTCTCCTTGTAATTATCTTCCTGCAGCCACCACGTCTTGCATTCTTGATATAGAAGGGTGGACCAAGCCAAATAAAAATCTTTTTCCCCTTCCTCAGGTTATAAGGCTCCTGCTACCTGTGTTATTTGGCAGGGAGTGTTGAAAGTACTGTATCTGAAAGGAGAAATGTTTTCAACCAGCATTAAGAAAGGAAGGATGCTTTGAAAGACTGTTAGACTTGAGTAACCCTGCAGTTTGGGTTCTGATTACAGCCCCTGTCAGGTCTGTCAGTCATTGCAAAAACTTTTTATATGCTGTTTGATTAAATAATTGTTGCAGACACTGTCTCTCTTTGCCTTTGTAGTTGTGATTATTATGACAGGTGATGAAGATGAGCCATGTCATTGCTCTCTTTTGTGAACCAGGCATTCCTCTCTTTAGGATGACTCAGTTGTGTGAATGGCCTCTCCAATTCATGTTAACACATGTATTAAATCATCTCTCTGACATGCTTAGGTCGTCAAAGAGTGCAGTTGGAATGGAGATGACTCCTCCATTTTGGCTGCTCACAATCTTCCCTTTCTCCAAGGAGGAGCTCTCACATGGAGTAAGCATCCTTTCAATGTTTATAGCTGAGTGTCCCACCAAGATGTAACCATGCCATCAGGGCACCACTGCTGAGTGTTGCCAGGTCCTGTAGCCAGGAGAGCTTGTGACCCAGATGTTAGTCTTGGCATCAGATTAAAATCTGAGCATGACCTGTGGTGCTGGGTTGAAGGGAAGTTGTTTTCTCTCAGACTCCCACTAAATTCCCAGCTGTAACAAACAGAAGGCCCTGCAGGTGGGAGTGTTGTTCCAGAAACGTCCTCACTAAACCACTCTAAATGTGCTTCTTGGGTGGCTCTGCCTTATCCTGCCCCTTACCTAAAAAGATGGAAAATGTGTTCCCTATTTTTCCTTTCGAGAAAAAAAAAAAAAAGCAGGTAAGGAGAAGGACTAATGCCAAGCTTTGGTTAAGCTCAGGAGCCGATTACAAGGGGCCTGTCTGACCTGAGCAGCAGCTGCTTGATGCCAGCACAGGCAGGAATTCACTTATCCTTTCCTTGCCCTCTGATTATAGTTCCTGGTGCTGTCATTTTAACTCTGTGCCTCCTCTGTTGAGGTCTTTTCCTGTTGTGTGCGTAGCAGGAAAGGTCACTTGAATATATGAGTTCCAGACAGAGGAAATAAATAGTGAATGTACTGAAGTGTGTGTACTGGAAATTGGGTAATAGCACGTGGGAGGGGATTTCTTGTAATAGGATCAGATTCAACAATCTGCAGCCAGAAGTGGTAAGTATAGAACAGATCAAAGAACAGTTCCTTTTTTTTAGTTTGTTCTTACTTCCAAAAATTAAAAAATGTGGGGAAAAAAGCTTCTTAAAAGAATGGAAACACTATTGTTTGAAAAAATAGTTGAGCAAAATATGTATTCAGCACGTATTCCCTAATATGCAAAATATGTATTCAGCATGTATTCCCTAAAACTTCTGCACTATGTGCATGCTGCAGTGCATGTGAGCTGGCCTAACACAAGCAGCTCTGTGTGGAGCTGTCATGAGGATAATTTACTATGTGAAAAAGCTGGCTGTGCCACAATTTGACTGAAGGAGGTAGATTTCTGGGCTGTTATTTTGTTTTAAGCTTTCATCTTCAGTATTTGGCATTTCCTATGACCCTACAGAAGTCCTTCATGTCTTTTCCTGCTCCTCCTCTACCCATTCCTCCTACACATCCTTGTTTCTGTGGTTGTTAAGTTCCTGGGCCCTTCTCCTGCAGGCTGAGGGAAGCAAAGCCATCTTTCCTTGCTCCAGAAAAGGGCAGGAGGGTAATGTGGTTCACTCTCTTTGTGCAAAACCCAGCCTGTTTGTTTGCAAATGTAAGCAACAGGAAAGCTCTTCTTTCAAAGCTAATGAAGAACTTTAAAGTGGGGCCCAGAGCAGTTTTCCATGGGGATAATAACACCCAGATCAGTGGAGTTTCAAAATTGGGTGGCAGCTCTTATTACCGGCTGGAAAGACTATTAAGGCCAACACAAGTAATCAACATACTTCTTGAGGCATTATGTTGTCAAGGAGAGTAAAGCTACCTGACAGACTGAATTTTGCCATTTGAAACTAAACCTGATTGTAGAGTCAACAGTATCTTTAAATAAATTAAATTTTATTTTGTGGGATGAAGAAAAAGAAGCAGAAGTGGATGGTGGCTGTTGAAGATTGCAATGCAAGTTGTTCTCCGTTACCATCTGTATGGCAGATTATCTTTTGTAAAGTGGGCAGTTTGCTTTATCTCTCTTTGAGTGACCACATTCACACCTCCCTCGGGGGTTGGAATGGGATGATCTCTGAGGTCCTTTCCTACCCAAACCATTCGATGATTCTGTAATCTTTGCTCTTTTCAGCCACATTTCTCTGCCCGATGGAAGAGACAAGAAGGGGTTAGGGAAGCAGCAGCTGCCGTCGCTGCTTTTCCCAGCTGGCCTCCAACCTGTTTCCCAGGCTGGAAGCTGAGGGCTGCAGGCCACAGCAACCTTTGGATCTGCCGGACAGCATTTCTGTCCCGCGCATCTGCGAGCAGCGGCGCAGGGACGTGTCCCACTGCTGCCGGGCCAACGCCGCGTGCTCGCTGAGCTCATCAGGCTGCTGGCTCCCTTCCCAGCTCTGCGACACCAGCTGAGCATCCTGCAGCAGCAAATAGAGGCAGCTGAGCTAGCGAATGCTGAGGGTGCCATCTTACAGGGCATCTCCACCCACACGCAGTAGGGAGTCAGAATGGGCAGCAGTAGCAGCAGCTTTAACATGAATGCAAATAAAAGCTCTGGAGTGTTATTAGTGTGGTAGAACCTTTCCAGGGAAACTGTTTAGAATAGTTCCCAGATGCTCAGCCTTGAGCTAGCTTAGTGTGAATAAGATTCATCAAGCCTCTTAATGGCCTATTGCTCCCTTGTTATGTGAATGGAAAGCAAAAAAAGGAAATTTGTTCCAGTGGGTACAAACTAATGTAAGCCCACACAGCCTCTGCTGTATCAGCATGTCTCCACTTCCTTGCCACAGAAAGCAACAACAGCTACTACCAGCACTGTGTGTGTGTCAGAGGGGGGGGACTGCAAATGTAAACCAAGAAAACATGTTTGTTCAGGACACCAACTTCTTGCCTTTGAAATGACATAGCAGTAAGAAACCCGGCTGCCAATGAACTTGCTCAGGCAAATGAGATTTAAAACACTGAAAAAGCTACAGGGGAAAATCAAGGGGTAGGGGCAGAGTCCTAAAAGCTTTAGCCAATCTTACCCTCTGGCATTTTTTTCCATGACTGCCTTACATTTCAGTCCTGTTCATGATCAACACAGCATGAGCACCTACAGCACTTACAGGCTCCTGAACTTTTCAGGAAGGGGATTGGTTAATGTAAAAAAGGGTACACAGCAGCAGGGCCCTGAATAACTCAGAAAAGTTGTTGCAGTGAAAGGAAGTTCCTCATTTTGAGACATAAAGACCCATCAATTCAAGTCAAAATGAGGAGTGGGAAAGAAGGCAGACTGCCTACTGTCTGCTTACAGTTCAAAATGTGCAACTCCAGCCAAGGCAGGCTGAAGGGTTGGTTGGAGAGGGATTAAAGGTTTGCATGTCTATCTGTAGTTATTTTAAATAGGATTAACAGAGCCAGTCACTAACTGGTGGGGGTGGGGGACACAAAAAGCTTGAAGGTTGCTCTACAGCTGTCTAGAGGGTTACACACACCTTTTTCTGAAGAAATAAGCTGTTGGCAGGACTAAGCAGTAACATAGCCAAGCTGGTCTGTCCTGAGCTGCAGTGTTTGCATGACAGCAAGATCATTTATCTCCTTTAATGGGAGGCAAAGACCAGGGCTCTTTCTCCACCTGCCTGCATACTGCAATGGAGATGCAGAGGAGTTTCAGGACTAGGAGATTCTCTGCCCTATATAAATTAAGCTGACGCATCTGCTGTGCCTGGAACTCGCTCCAGCCATTCCTTAAAAGGGTGTGTGCCTGCAAAAGAGAGGAAGAGAGCAGCTGAAGGAGAAGTGAGAGGTGGCTGGCCATCACTTGGAGAGCATGCACCTCTGTAATAGGGAAACTGGAGCTTGTGGGTGCAGCCAGCTTCCTTCATTCTGTGACTTCATTCACTTCTGACACTGCATGAGTGCACTGAAAATAATGCAAAGACTGCATGCCTGGGATACCTGAGCAGCCAAAATAGTATTGCCTAGGTCAGGGGACTGAATTCCTCTGTTAATTCACAGGGCCTGAAGCATTTCAATGAGAAAGTCAGCAAAGGTGAGCACTTCTGGCCCAGCAAGGGATGCTCACAGTAAGACCCCAAGATGGCCTTTGCACTGGAAATGAAGTGTAACAAGAGTTTATGTGCAGCACTGCATGGGAAGGCTGTGAATACAGCAGGACAGAGGAAGGTAGGATATCCCCAGAAGCTACTTGGACCATACTGAGAAAAAATTAGTATGCACAAGGTGGAAATTATGTCTATAGGAAGGACAAGAGAGATCCTGCTTGGTTGTGTTTTTTTTTTTTTTCTTTTTTCTTTTTTCTTTTTTTTTTTTTTTCTGAAGGCCAAAGTCTATGGGAAGATAAAGAAAACTGGTATTCTGGCCAAAAATGTATAGATTTCCCATCCCCCAAAAAATGCTATGTATTGACTATCACTGTGTGAAACTGCATTGGAATAAGCCACATTTTCTTTCTATAGTCCAGCTTGGGAGCACTGGAGGAGCATTAATCTCCCAAAGGACAGCCTGTCCTTGCAGCTATTTCTGGGCTTTCTGCCAGGGCAAAAGCTATTTGAAAGATTTTATCATCATTCTTTCTTCATTCCCCAACACTGCAGCTGTGGATTTATTTTTGTAAGCTTGCTGCAAAGGTGCATCTGATTCTCCACACACACATGTGAAGAAGTTATCTGCAGTGATGGTTTCCCCTTTTCCTTTTGAAAGAGAAGGGCATGCACCTGGGTCTCTCTAAAGGCAGGGTGAAGAGGAAGGTAGTTATAAATATTATGATAACAGCAGAAACAAGCTTATGAGAAGGGGCTTTGTGAGCAGTGAACTGTACAAGGATGGTTGGTTATGTGGGGGAATATTGGACTCCTGTTTACCATGAAGCACAGAACTGGCTGAGGGATTGGAGCCTGAGGGTCACACCCTGTTTGTGTGAAGTCTATCTCACTGCCCTTAATTCAGAGGAAAAATAACTGAGACAGAAATCCCATCAGGTGTGCCAACTTCAGATTCAAACAGCTTTTATATAAGGCAGATTGGGGGAATTCTGCTGTTTCCAAGGATGTAGAAGAACTAGGCTTCTCCAGCGGTAGGTAAAGCCTGCATTTCATGCACTACAATCTAGTTCTGGACATGGTATCATGCTTTATCCAAGCTGCAAGGAATCAGTTGAAGAACATTTGTTCTGTGAGGCTGTGAGAAAAAGGAGAGAGCTCCTGCAGTTTGCAAAATATAAAATCAGTTACTAGGCAGGAGGCCATCAGACATTTTACCCTTGTGGGCTGGAGCTTGTGACGGTGTCCTGGGTGTTCCTTGGCTCCTGCTGCAGGCTGGACAAGCTGCTGGGCTGCAGAGCCAAGTGGTGTGATGCTTGCTGTGCCTAACTGAAGCCTGGAGGAAAAGTCTAGATAAAAAATGCAGAGGAAGAGTCAGCCCTGATCTCCAGCCCCTGTAAAATCTTAACTAAGTTACTAAGTATGGAAACACAGCGTCATTTCAAGCAGGCGTTGCAGGAGATTGCCATATGGGCTGCCTCTGCAAAACCACAAGCTCGGAGCCTCAGCAAGCACTGACGGTGCTGACTGCTCTTTAAGGGCAGGTTCCTGATTCTCTTGCAAGGAGTTCTGTAAAGCACTCACATGGCTGCAGAGAGCAAAGCAGCATGGATGCATCATGCATTCCTCCTCACCTGTTCCAGCTCTGATCTGCCTTCCCTGGAGTGAGTGTAATTTGGTAAATTGGACCTGCCTATCCTCTGCAGGGCTGTAGAAACCAGAATCATGAACTTACTGGCCAGCTCATCCACTTGCAGAGCATGAATGCAGAGAAAAATTGGTTTTAGCCACAAGTGGCTCACCGACAGTCCTGCCAGGGCTGCCAGGGCATTTACCCCCTCCCCACCCCACAGACAGGGGTGGGGAGGGGATAAATGTGCTGCTAATTTTTCAGGCTTCAGGAGAACTGGGTAAGGGTAGCAGAACACAGGAGATGCTCCCTCAGCCCTGGCTGCTGCCAGGTGTAAGCAGAAGTTGCTATGGCTCTAAGGGAAGAGGAGGTGGTTGCCCTGTGGTGGGAAAGGGGGAATCAGTATGAGGAGGAGACGACAGTTTTCCCTACACAGGGAAGCCACCGGCTGATAGACTCACAGCCACTTTTCTGTGGCTCAACTGAGACCAAGCACAATGACACCTCAGGTGCCAATTTGACGAAAACCTTGGGGCTTTTCTGCCTCTAATGATCCCCATCCCCAACCTGGCTGATGCAGCTGAATTGAACGACACCTATTACATTGGTCTACCTCCTAAACCACAACAGAGTTCCTTGTCCCTGCTTGCAGTCTCCAGTTTGCAGTGCACCCCATTCATACAGTACCTGGTCACCAGTGCCCTTACCCAGGAGGTTTGAGACTACTCAAACATGATTCCAAGGGGAGGGTCTTAGTTATCCACCCCCTCCACAGTGTGACACAAGCCCTAACTCCTGATGGGGACCCTTCTTTTAAATAGCACCCAGGCACAGCTGTAAGCACAGACAGGTGCCTCTGAGGGCCTGGCCATTCAGCCCTCCATGGCAGCAAGCAGCTCCTGCTGCCAGCAGCACCATCCCTGGGCTGGAGCAGCCTTGGCACACCAGGCCCCCAGCACACAGCTGTTATCCCACCTCACCCTAAGGGCTTGGGCAAGGAGCAGGGATGAAGGACTGCAGCCAGAGACCATGACCCTCAGCAGGCTGCAACTGGAGAAACCATTCCCCAAGGTTCCCTTAAGGATCTCTCCCCTCTCCACTCCAGCCCATGGAGAAACCACTCTCCAAGGTTTCCCTAAGGACCTTGTCCCTCCCCACTCCAGCACAGACTGGAGTGCTGAAGTCACTGCACTGCATGCGTGCCAGCCAGGCTCAGATGTCCAGCACCTGAGCCCAGCAGCTGAGGAAGCCACACTAGTGGTGTGTCCATATGCCAAAGGGATTAAGCAGTGTTAAATGGGTGTACCAGTGGCCAAAAAAATAAATTGAGCATACATGAGGTAGTTTTAAAATGGCACATCCCAAATCCCTAACACCCAACACCCCCACACAAACATAGGTGCCCCAGCACATCAGTATCCTCCCTGCACAGCTGAGGCAGGATCAGAGCTGAACTAGTTCTATGGACCAACTCAGCTACAGCCTTGGCCCTATAAAGGCAGAATTATCTTTAAAAATTTGACTCATCAGTGGGTGGCTGAAGCACTTTCACACTGATACAGGAACATGACCCATCAGTAATCCCCATCCACTTGGCCCAGCTCACACCAGTTTGACAGGGCCAGGCAACAGCTCCTGCTCGGGTTTCGGCACTAGGGAGACTCACAGGATAGTTAACACTGGTGCTTGCTCTGAACTTTGTCTCCTAGCAAGCTTTATTAAACCAGTGTTCGCAACTTTATTTTGTCCCTGGACTCTTTTCCTCCCTTCAGAGAAATACCCACGTCCGAAAATAAGCACCTCCCACCACATGGTATTACTGACTTTATGCCTTCCATGACTCTCCACTCTGACTTGTTTCAATGGGCTTACAAATTTGC